TGTGCGTGACATCTCATTTTGCACGCTGACAGGTTGAAGGATATGTGCTGTAATTGTTGTCTGACTGTCGTCATGCTGTAATTGAAAATGTCTCGTGTGAAACTTTCTCCAGGATGTGTAAACTAGCATGCCAATTAAGATTAATGCGGCTGCTCCAGTTTAGCTGCCCCATTACCTACGTGCTGCCTACCTTAAACATCCAATATGCACCCGGTGGCATCCAAATGTTTGCTCAAAATAGAAGTCTGAAAAAAAACTGTCATCATTATTTGTGATTTAAACATTTATATACAAATTGTGATCAAAGATGAATGCGGTATTTGATGATACGATCAAATAATGGTAAATATGGCAAGCTTTGCTTTGGAACACAGTTTGGAACACTTGGTTCTTTTTCTTTTGTTTTATTATGAAACACTTTTTTAATTGAATAGAATATAAAGCAGCACAAGTGAAGTAGCAAAATGTCGCAGAACTCTGTTATTTTTACTCCTTGGGGATATTCATCCTTTTTTTAAATGAGAGGTGCACAGTAATGTGTGGGTTACTGCATTAGTTCAAAATGTAAATAGAACGCCAGGGAGAAGCATTTGTTCTGCACATAACAAATAGCACCCAGCTCCAAATACCCTGGTGCACATGCACATATAAACAAACACACACACACACAAGCACCCTGTGATTACATTATTCATAGCGGTACAGAGAGCTCACCCAGCAAACACACAAGAGCTGCTGTAAAACACAGAGTGGTAACAGCATCAGCTAGATTGTCTTACAATAACAGGGATGGAGGGACGGGGAAAGACGTAGCGAGAGAGACTGAATGAACGTGTGTGTGTGTGTGTCAATCATTTAGGTGGAGCGAGGTGTCTCATTGCATTAACACCACGGCTTGGTCTTATTGATGTTTTGGTCGGTTTGTGCGCGTCTGTCCGTGTGCAACTCTATATTTAGACATAGGCACACTAGCCCGTTGCCTGCATGACTGCTGGAAGGGAAGGGAGAGGAGGTGGAGGTGGAGGTGGAAGTATATATATATATATATATATATATATATATATATATATATATATATACACACACATGCATACATATAAATACATGCATACAAACAGAAAGATAGCGATTGAGTGAGATTACTGTAAGTATGCTCCTAGAAGAAATCGAAATAAAAAAATATATAACAAAATAACATTTTAGTCAGCAACACACAATGCCCCTTTCAGGTATTTAAAGCAGAAAATGCCTCGGTGCAGAGTACATAAAATATATTTGTATCAAAGTTCCATGAACGATGCTCCTGTCACAAAAGACAAGGGAACAAAAGTACCTAATGGAGATAAATTGTGTAAGGACGGTTAGCTTTACAATAACACGCCCCTTTCTCTGCCTTCTCTCTATGCCTCTGTTACCTCTGTTTAGGGAGGCTATGTGCAACAACCACTATGAACCATTTGATAAATACCTAATATCTCATGTGGAAAAAGAGTCCCTTCATAGTGAATGCAGAGAACAACACAATGGCTTTGTGTAGCTGCACCGTTCATTGTTGTGTTTGTTTCAAACAACGCAGTTGTGCTATTACGTCAAAAAGGGGCATTAGTATGCATCAACATTGACACACACACACACACACACACACACGTATATTCTACCCTGTAATGTTTTGTGGTCTGATTTTAACAACAATTAATCATTAATGGTCTTAATTAGTCAAAAAACGTTTTATTTTTCTAATTAAAAAAAACAACTTTGTGAATAATTTCTTGAGGGTGGTCAAATTAATCCATTGAAGCTGTAGTAGATTAGTGTAATAGTGCTGAACCATTAGCAGGACTGTGTTTTCAGTCACTCGTCCTTCATGCAATCATGAAAACATCTCCAAAAATATACAAAGAAGTCAAGTAAAAGTGTGCTGAAAGGAAGCGGTTGCCAGTGTGAGTCTACACGGAGGAGCATGTCAGGTGAAGGATTGCTTGGCTTATTGTTAACCGATGAAGTGGATTAACTTCAGCCTCACCGCAGCACAGTGACACTCCGAACCCCATCCAGGAAATGAATAGAGCATCAGCGCGCTATTGTGAGGAAAAGCAATGGGTTGGAATTAGAGGAGAAAAATATAACTTTCTCTGAGTGGAGACTATGTACTATGTTTTTTCTATCTCAGTGAAGCAGAAGTTTTGTATTATTCATATGCGGTATTACTGTCAAATAAGTACATAAGCTACATCAGATTCAGCTTTAATTGCCATGTATGCTTATAGATACATGGAATCTTACGACTTACATACACAGAAACAGACAAATAAACTAAACACAGTCACAACAAAATAGAACAAAGGTGAATATCAACATTTAACACACAGCCTTCCAAAGATGAGGAGCAAAGGCGTCAATTATGATCTTTTAAAAGAATTCAACAATGTTTTTACTGAAAATCCCAGATCATTCCAACCTGTCATTACTTTCCAGCCAAGTCAAGCAGCCGCAGCACTGCAACTGGTTGTCAACTGGGAATTGAAGCAATGGCTGAGCCAGCCACCCCAGTGTTTCTCCTTCAATGCCCAAGGCGTTCCAGTGGTACCTTGTGTGCAGGCTTTTAATAAAGATGCTTGTTTAAATCCTGGAACAATGAGCAAGGGCTGCATTTCAGCTCTGACATTGCAGTAAAATGCCATCACATTGCCCAAAGGGCTAAACTCAACCCAACTGTGAAATCCGATTCTGGTAGAGAGAGAGAGAGAGAGAGAGAGAGAGAGAGAGAGAGAGAGAGAGAGAGAGAGAGAGAGAGAAAGAGAGGGGCGGAGGATAGAAAGGAGGGAGAGAGAAAACGACTGTGGTGCGTAGGGCCTATAGATGCAAAAAGGTGCCCGTGCTGTCATCACTCACTGATCCAAATGGAAAAAGAGCAGAAAATCACAGTTTTATAACATAACTATGATGGATCTGACGTGAAGCAAACGCATCCCGGAGAGATTTGAGGAATGCTTTACAGGTGGCGCCACGTCTAACGGTCACCTCTATGGAATAATCAAACATACTTTGCAATATGTTGTCAAGTTAATTCATCATTATACCGTTTCTGTTCTGTCACCGCAAGACTCAAAAACAATATGTAGCATTGAGAAAATGAATGCAAGGGACAGAAATAAATGAAGTCACCAGTGGGATTCAGTCGGGCTCTAATCACAGCTGCAGTTTAACCCCTCGCCCGCTGATTGCCATGCAGCTGCGAGTGCAGCTGGGACGCGACGACGGTCCGTGGCACAAGATTAATCGCAATCAACTGAACAAGGACATCTGGTTCTGGATGGATGCGAGAAGAGCAGTGAATAGTATTGAAATTATTTTTGGAAAGAGCACCAAGCAAGTAGTTGGCCGTGATGTCGGGCAGATGTGGAGGGGAACAAAATTGCACTCTGTCATCCAATTTGTGTCAATACTTCCAGCTAGTGTGGTCCAAGATCGTGCAGGTAAAATCAATAAGTCGATCAAGTGACGACATAACATATATATCATTTCTTACACCTTTTTGTGGCTAGTTTCTCTTTCAGCAACTTGTAGATATATTTATCTACAGTAGACTGTAGACATGTGGATCAGTTGGCCCGACATCAGGCCTTTACACGGCTTGAAAGATGTTGCATTGCACCTTTCATGCAGGTATATATATATATATATATATATATATATATATATATAGGTATATATATATATAATTTTCTACTATTGCATTCCAGTGAGCAGCACCACCGCGATAACCCAAAGCCCGTATCACAGAGTCGAGGATCAAACTGCTACCGAGCCGGCCGAGATAATGTGTCACACCGAGGTAAGCACCTGGGACAGCGGGGGGGGTCCACTGAAAATCACCACGTTCCTAGACGCTCGCACAATCACACACACGCACGCACACGGGCACACGCACAATCCGTTTCTATGTCAGTATATATATATATATACACACACGGACACAGTACAAACCCACTGAGGGAGTTCTGATTGTAGGGTTTTCATCTTCAACTTCAACGCGTACATCCTGGCCTTGCAAAAATGATCTCTTTAGAATCTCTGCAGTATGCAAGAGGCCAAAAAAACATAGAGCCTGCGTAGTTTCACATGTGAGGGGTGGAGTGGACCAAACCAGTAGTAGACTAAATGCCGTAGAATAAAGAGGATGGTGTCGAGTAAACCTCGCGTGAGATAAACTATAATAGAGAGGGTGTGTTTTCAGTTGAAGAATATTCTCATTCGTCTTTCATCATCTTTCAGCCGACAATACTTTTTGCTGTCAGAAATCGTCTTAGTTTAGGAAAAAAACCTACTTGGTTACGTTATGAAATAAATTGGTGGTTTCGGTTAAAATAAAACCTTTCAGGCAGAGACCCCTGAACATTCCGGTCTTATTCTCCACGCAGTGAGCAGTGAGCAGTAAACCGGGGAAGCAGAGGAAAATGAAGAAGGCATGATGAGCAGCCGAAGGAAATGAAGATGAGATGAGAAAGATAAACTTGCTATTGCAAAACATTTTTGTATGAGGATACAGCAAATGGGACAACATATGTACAGTTGCAGGCACAAAAAGACTAATTTTGTAGTTGTTGAATGCATTAACATAATTACACGTGAAGCAAATGGACACAAATCCCTGCAGACATTATATCGGACGCTGTCTGACTGGTTGATGCTTCGATAAGTAAAGTATTTAATTTAGAGGAAACGTTATTATATCACACGGTATGTCATATTATGATATTATTGCAGAACTATAGGAATAAAGAAGACAAATGTGAATTGGATAAGAGTTGAAACAATAGTAGGGCATTCATATTTAATAGATATTAGCTTCCAAGTTGGCAGTGCAATTCACTTCAGTCCTTTGACGGCAAACTAACTGGAGCATTTCTCTGTGTTGCACGACCTGCTGGAGTCTCAACGTATGCTGCGTTGATGAATCTAAAGCTTAAATATTGAAAAAAGGGGCAAAAAAAACTCACCAGCACATGCGCCGTCAACCTCCTCATACGCAACGCTGCAGACGCATCTTCCCAAAGGGACCAACCAGTCTCCATCAGCTCCACAGAACAGTTTGGGTGTGTCTCTTTCTTCGGCGTGGTCGACACAAGCCCCCCGCACCTCCACCAGCGACGAAGAGTCCACACGAGGCACCGTGTCGGGGAACGAGGCCAGGTTCCTCAGCGTGAACGGACATTTCTTATAGTAAACCCTCACTGAAACCAGAGCAATGCAGGCGCCGATGTCCTGAAACGCCAGATAGAAGCCCTTCCGGGTCATGGGTCCCACCTCGCGCACCTCCGTGTTGAGCTTGAGGATGCGATCTCCGAGGTCCATCTGAGTGAAGCTCTCGTCGGCGGCGATGGTATCTATCTTGGTGTACTGCGGGGGCTTGAATTTGACACTGTGAGACTCGTCGGTCTCGTGGTAGAAGAGGTTGAAGGTCTCCTTGCAGGTGCCGGACACCCACGGGATGGAGTTGCAGTCGCGCAGGGTGAAGCGAAGCTCCACGTAGATCTTTTGGGCGGCCTGCCGGGAGATCCAGTTGGAGCGAAGCCAGTTGTTCTGGTTGGGCTCCATCACGTTGCAAACCTGGAAGGTGTGGATGGGTCGGTTGTGCTCGTCCATCTCCGTGATGGCATCCCACTAAATGAAAAGAAGAGAGGGGGGGGGGGGGACAAAGAATAGCAATGAATTAATCAATAGTAATTAAATGATAAGACAAAAAGTATAGTAGTGCCTGTGGTGACCAAAGCAGGTACGTCTGGTCGACACTGTGGTTTTATGAAGTACATTTTGTCCTGCTTGTGGCACTTAAATCTATAGCACGGGGTCATTGAAATCCAAACGGCTCGTCCCTTTTAGAGTATGAATGTGATCAGCTAAATTATTTGCAATCTGACTGTTTCTGCCGTTTCTGGGACACCTTGTGAGAAGACAACTCGTGGGCCGGCAATTGAATTGAGAATTGATTTGACATCGTCCTCCGTTCAGGGTCCACAAAACATCGCGGTAAAGAGGTTTGTTTTCGTTTGTTTCAGGGAAGAGTCTTCTTAATTACACTAAGGGACCTTTATTGTTAATATTTCTACTTAGAATAACCAGAGCACTGATTGGAATTTGGTTTTCTGAGAGTGTTGGTCAAGTGAAATTTAAAAAACAACAATTTGAATCATAACATGTCAGACAAATGGTTACGACATTTGGACAAAAATGATGAACAGAAAGAAGATAATCATTAACACTGGCCCGAAAGAAAAATAAAAAAACAAGCTGAACAATCTATCTGTATGTTATCCCGTTAGGTATTTCAAGGAAGGTCCTCTTGAATGCTGTCTGACTCCAGCTGCCGAGTCATCAGCTCTGCAACTCCCGGGTCACATGATCAGGGCGTATGGCAGCTTTGCAGGGTCGTGAGGTTACCTGTCCCCATGTTGATGGGAGAGAAGTTAATGGGGGTTTTTAGCCCCCTGGTCCTGCACAGCGCTCTGTTTTTATTAGAGTGGGGACTGGCTACATGGGCGACCCCAAAACCACCCAACACTGACCTCCAAGAATCAAATTACTTGCCTGGGAAAAAGGGCTCTTAAATCAAGCATCGGAGCCTCCACAAAGGCCTTTTCCTTTGAGCGTGTCCAGCTTTATACTTAGACTCATATCCAAACCATTGTACCTAATCTTTATATGGTGGGGGTTTGTTTTTAAACTATTACATCTCATACTATTACTTGCACACTCGCACAACTAATAGCCACAATAGTCAAGAGAGATGCAAGCGGGAGGTCAGGTGAGGACGGCCAACAATGAAGTTTAATTAATTACCAACATGCATAACCATCGTTTTGTGTTGAGAAATTGAGGGACCGCGTGGCACATTCGCAAACCCACACTTTATGTCCCTATTGGCTGGAAAACAACTGGTGTACAGGCACAGTGCAGTAACTTTCTGTTAATTTACCAATACTATTTGCCAGGTAAGCTTACGCATGATAAGCTGTTTTGCACTTAGCTAAATATTACCTCTTGATGAGAGTACTAATCAAAGCCAAATGTTTGCTTTCACATACTCATTATCCTTTTTAATAACATGTTCTAATTCAATCATCCAAGGACGACGGGCTTTAATCTTCTCTCCCCTCAAGGTGTAATTGTTGAATTACAGTCAATCAAATAGATTTTGATTAAATGTGATATTAGATTTTGTCGGGCATACCAAAGAAATGCAGTGTGTGCAGGTAAAATATGCTTAATGTGTAATTAAAAGCATTAAATCATGTTCTAAATATGAGGGGAATTCACCTCTATTAACTTGCAGCAAAGAAGGATGAGTACGACAGATTGACAATCCATTGTGTCCAGCTTCCTGCACTAATAGCATAAGTGGGGGATGAATATTTTAATTTGAGTAGAATTGGTTACCTTTATCAATAATCAGATTGAACCTAATTTAACCCTAACTATTTGCCCTTTGTTACTGTATTTCAGTATGTTTTCTGTATTAAGTTATGGTTCAGCTCTATGACAGACACAGTCGGGATTTTTCACGTCTTCCCACTTATGCAATACACTATAAAATATATTTTTTTAAATCCCAAACCTCTAAATCTAAAATGTCTGGTCATGTAACTTAAATTTGCTGATTTGGACCTGCAGCAGGAAAAGAGCATGAACACACTCGGGCTCCAAAGCTTTCGTTTAACAATAGTGATCGCTACAGAGTCACAGGGGGAAATTGAGATTATACAGGACGATACCTTGTCTTGGTTTCCAAAGGAAGTGTTTGACATTTCAACATTGGAACCATGACTTGGGAATCAGGAAGGTTATCATTAAAATGTATGGAAACAACCACAAGCTGTCTTTGTTGGAACACACAAATAAACTGAGTTCTTTCTACATTACGTTGTGTGACTGCATCAATGGCTTCAAAGGATGACACCCTATTTGATGAGCCAGGTGATGTTGCTGGAATCAGAATTTTTCGACACCAATTACAATACACATTCACTTCATGATGCTCGACATTAAGGTGAAGAGTTATGTGTCTCGATTTTTTTGCTATTATCGTTGCTAAGGCCGGATCGAGCCATTCACCGATTCCCAATCTATCGCCTATGGTATGTGACCACGATGGTCGATCCCGTATCCAGGCTGGATTCTGTACTGAGGGGATTGGATTGGATTGATTAAGATTATTCGATGTTCTTACATTCTTAGTAACATGGGGTGTGGTAGAGAGATGACAGAACAGGAGATCAATAAAGCCGCGGAGAATCCAACGTATCAAGTATGCTTCTGAGAGTGTCAGCAGGAGATACGGGAGATTTAGGAAAAGTTGGGAAGCAATTAAATGAGCTCAAACAACACTGTAGATGGACCGTGGCCAGAGACAGTGAGACAGAGGCAGAGACATTATTGTGGTTTGTCCCTCAGGGGAAAACAAACCGCAGTGATGGAGACAAACTGCCAGACGAATCGCTAACTAAATACCGTTCGGAAATGATCTAAAAGCCTCCAAGACTCCGGCTGATAATGTCACGCTGTGTGGTGTCTTCACTTTGAAATAAGTCACTCCGCTGCTTCAGGTTTACAAGAGCTGTAAATTGAGCCTTTCCAAGTTGTCTTCCAGGCAATAAAAAGCATTTCCCCTTAATTGACTTCAAAATACAAAGGGTCGTTCCGGGGACATCATCACACTTTGGAATCACGAAACCTGGCGGGACCGCAGCCTTTTTATCGTCGTATTCGCCGTCTGAATAAGAACTTCCTTTTCAAAGTAAAAAAATAATAACTTGAAGCGAAGCCACCTCAATAACTTGCCGTCCAGCCTTAATAACGTGCATAATTGAAAAAAAAGCGGTCAGAAAACGTGGCTGATTGATTGCACCCCGGAGACCGAAGCTCTTACAGCCCATCCCTCTCACACAGGAAAGAGAGCTGGCCACGCGCCCGGAGAGGAGCTCCTTTCATTTAAACTGTGAGACCTGCAGCCCTTTTAAACATAGTGTCATAAGCCGCTCCACCGGTCTTCGATCTAAATGAAACACTTAACGATTCCCAACGTTCTTGGGTGGGTGGGGGAAAAAAAAGAAAGACACAAATTAAAAGTAAAATATTGAGTTTTATGACCAACTATTAAAAAAGTAACTTAATTATTAGGCTTTTTTCTGAAAGAAAAATCGCTCAATCCGTTGATACATATTTATATTATTGTGCAGTAATATTTCAATTCCTTACAATAAAAGTACGGAAAAGGTCGAACATTAGAAAAAACAGAATTTCCCTAAAAATATGTATGAGCTATCTGTGTGGCTGAATAATGAATAATGAAAATAAATGCAGTACACCTTTTTATCCGGTGGCTGCAAGTCAACAGGCCCCAAAGCAATTATAGGGAGGAATTTCAAATGCCCTGTGGGAAACGAGGACGCTGCGTGTTGTATATTGTTGCCGTGAAAGACGAATACAGTCAAATCACAGGTGTTCGTTTGGGCCGCAGGAGACTCGATCCGTGTAAATATTAATAATGGAATTTTCTTTTGTCATCACCGGAAATGCAGGACTGTGCGCGGCGTCCTGGGGCCTCGCCTGCTTTTCCCAGAACCAAACCTGCCCGCCGCTGTGGTCACACAAACAATGTCGCAGGGAGCAGGTGGGTTCGTCCCTGGTTCACGGAGGCTTCTTCAATTAAAGCAAAGATAAAGACCAGCAGCTTCCCTTCTTCAGATCGTTCCCATTATCCACCTTTCTTGTTTATCCTTTTATTGTGTTTTCTCTCCCTCATCCGGATAACAATCTTTTGACACGATTTGACTCGCAGACAACAAAACCTTCAATGCTTTTTACTTCACCGATGTGAGGACGAGCTAATCACCTCCAAAACAGCAAGAATCACTCCCTCTGCTGGACTCATTTCTCTCTCGTGTCCTTTTTGCCGTTAACTTCACAGCCGGGGCGACTGGACCGTCACCATACAGAGTATCAGGTCACTGTTTTACTGGGGAAAGCCACCACTTAGCATCAGCCGGTATCAGCCAACATGCCGCACTGCTTTGTGAATCTTTAAATACTCATTAACTCCATTACTGGTATGTTAACACTTGACTAAATACTGTGGCAGAAAGTGATCACGTGATCTGAAGGGTCAGAGTCTTAAGACATTTAATTGGTTCTTCGTGTTACGCAGTGTTTTTAGATCGCTTATCATCCAGAGTGCATTCTTTAACACAGCAATTAATGTCATTTCTTTGTATCATCCCTTGTATATTATTATTTTTGTATCCGTTTCTAATCTCTCACTCCGTTAGTCCTCCATCTCCCTCTTCTTTCCCCCCCTCTCTGGTCTTTCTGTTCGCCTCACATCCGATGGCCGCTCAGCTTCCACCGTACCTTTTGTCTCTCTGTGTGTGTGTGTGTGCGTCTGTGTGTGCGTGTGTGTGTGTGTGTGCCATGACAGTGACACCAGGATTGAGAGATTTTTATTTAATCCCAGAGCCCCCCCCCCCCCCCCCCCCACGGTGATGGATGAAAAAGCTCTGCCTCTACCTCACACATACACGTAGGAATAGCAATAGAAATGAGGGAGATGGATGAAGAGTCTTTGCTCACCAGGGAACTTGGTGTCAGCTCTTTGACTTTATGAGAAA